CTGAAAAAGTGTCTGTTGGTGATAGCCGGCTTTCTGCCTTTCGTATATTGAGTCTGATTGTAGAGCATACTCGACATGCTATAGCATTGTTCGTCCAACACGACCATTAACTACCCAGACTTTTCCATTGGAGTTATTTATCTCATGTCTTGTCAATTTCTGTGGGAGATAGTTTGAGGGAATGTTGAGAACTGGCGGAGTGAGAAGAGAGTTTGAAGGTCTGAAATACGGTATTAAATGACATCTGAGTCGTTGTGTCTGATAAAGACGAAGGCGTTGATATAAGGCTTTGATATGACGAAGAGATAAAAGCATACAGGTCTGCAGAAAAAAAAGAAGTATCACAAAGGAATTTAGTTTTCATAGTTGTTTGTTGAACCAGTCCTATTATGGTTGTATTTTCGACATCGCAAGGCACAGCCAGCTCTTCTTTCCATTGTTGGATATGATTATCATTTATGTGATTCTAAATTGCTTTTAGGTGCTCTGGCTAATCTCGAAAAAGCAGTATTAGATTACGTCTTTGATCGCGTGTGCGTACTAGGATTCAAGCCCGTATCGGTGCCTGATCTCGTCTCAAAAGAAGTGACAGAAGCATGTGGAGTTTCACAACGAACGCAAAAGGATATACAGGCTAGGATCTATTTTCATTTCCATATATCATCGTATAACTTTCTCCCATTTAGTACACTCTGCTAGATGAGCCAGACGTGGCTCTTTCTGGAACTGCCGAAATGGGTATATCAGCTCTTTTGCGGAACAAAACATTTGCAGAGGAGCAGCTCCCATTGAGAGTCGTAGCCTTGAGCAGGTGAAAAAGCTCTAAACAGATCATTCTTTAATATTGTGAACCTTTCAAACTTCCTTACCAGTTACATACACGCTCATAACTTATGTTAAATTACTCTATCGCTTTCCATTCCTGTCTTTTTCGAGGAAATAGTTATGATAGCAGGTTTATTCTAGGTGTTATCGGCCGGAAGTAAGCAGCTCAGCCAGCGAGGCAAAACTTTATCGTGTCCATGAGTTCACAAAGGTAAGAGTTTTCTCTTTTTGCTAGTTTATGATTATTGGACCTTACTTTATTTTTCTAGGTTGAAATGTATGTAACGTGCACACCAGAACAAAGCGAAGCAGAATTGGATTATCTTGTACAAATACAGAAAGGAACATTTGAGTCGTTTGGGTTGCATTGCAGGTAAAAGTCAAATAGAACTAGCTTTTTTAGAACTTCTATTTCATATGT